GATAACCTGAAATTTGTGTGGAAAAAAAAGTGTACCTTGGGCTCCTTATATAAAGGAGGCTGTCTCCAACATGAAATACATTAGCTTGAATATCTTCCTCTCACCACTAGACCTGAAAATAAAGCATATTTAAACTGATGCTTTTGAAGGCTTTTATGTGTCTACCTTTTAGTTTGACCTCAACACTTGTGCTCTTGATACAGGGCCACTGCTTATGTGGCCGAGCAGACAGTAGGACTGAAACCGAGATAATAGCAATTTCACTGAGGTTTCTTGTTCAGGTACATTTTCCTACCAGTGAGTTTGTATAAGTGGATTTGCATGGATTTCAGGTTGTGTTTGCATGCTGCTCCGTGTGACCTTTAGCATGGTTTCTCTTAGCAGACTTCTGCTTTCCTTTTGTCTCACCATGTTTCTAAACATATCTCTCTCTGTCTAATAGTTAGAATTTCAGTGTTTATATAAGATGATACATTGCATATTATTTATTTATTTCTGTCTTACAGTTGTAAGTAGAGTTACAGAAGGCCTACACACTTAACAGTTAAGCCAGCATCCTAACATCACATGTATAAGGTGTAGACATGCAGTAACAGTCTACAATAAATCTGCGTAAACACTAAGATGAGAGTTAAACAACCATCTGTGTTTGTCCATAGGTCCTGCGTTTGTTCACTGTGAACTGCACTGTAAAATATTTTAAGCATCTGCTGTAACAGATTTTGGTCCATTTGAGGCAGGGAAGAATTTACACATTTTCATCCTATAATGTAGTTATGTGAAAGTGTTGGCAAACAGTTGCCTTATCAACGCGTCCAGCAGACATGGACCAACAGTAGCTTTCATTTGGAGTCATAATTCTGGCCACCTGGTGAACATGAGTCCACATAAAGGTGATTAAATCTGCGCATCTATCTTCTATTCCTCCACCCCTGATAACACGGCATTCTTCTCCCCTCAAAACTTTTCCAACATGGCCTCCAGAAATCTGTAAATCTTAAAACACTGGCTTGGTGTTTCAGTTTGTTCTGGGAAAACTGACCTTTTCCAAAACAGTGACGTAAGCCCAGTGAGGGAGTGTGCCACTTAAGAAGACTAGACTAGTCAAGATTAGTCATCTCTAACTTTCTTTGTAATCATGGACTTTAAACTCATTATAGCCGACCATATAGCACAGCTGTTCTCATTAACGTGTAGTTATGTTGATTTTGTCAGACGGTGTTGTGACCATTAAATACACAAATTGTTTTCAGATGAATAGGTTTATGATGACAATTGAAATTGACATCATAAACCTTTGTTGTGTTTAGCCTGGCTTTTGTTATAATCAGTTACAACTGCAGTAGAAGAAAGAAAAACTTTGTGTTACGTTTTAAACCACATGCCATGCATGCTATTTGCTTAACATGTTTCTTTAGAACCTTAATTTAATGAGTTTGGTAAACTCAGCAGGACATTAATTCAACTCAAAATACTTCAGTCATGATTATCCATTCTTAAGTGGGACCTTAAATGATTTTAAATCGACAGCTTGAAATATATAAAGCTTATGTATTTACATGTGTTAATGATATAACATACTGGAACTTATTACAGTTTCATTACACCAGTAGTGAAAATGCTTATTTGGTTTGATATTGAGCTTCCTTCATGCTTCTGTCCTTCAAACGCTTGCTGGCAGGTTGACTGGTAGGGTTGAGCAGCTTTCCAGGTTGTCCCTCTGCCTCTTTGTCTCTCTGCCTCCCTCTCTCTCTTTGATGTGTCAGTTGAGTCGAGCTGGAGTCGGGCAGGCGGCCATGTCCATCAGCTCCATCCATCAAGCAGTGGGCCGGGTGGCAGAGAGAGGATGACGGGCAGCAGAGAAGGGGCAGATGTTTTGCAGGAACTGATATGTGTTCACGTCCACGAGGGATGTCATTACGTGGCGGACAGAGAAACATGTAGCTGATTAGCAGCTTATTAAGTCAAGGACACTGGCTCTCAGTAACACACACCTCTTCCATTCTGGCTTGTGGTGCTGATGGCTTGCCAGTCACTGAGAACCTGAGTGTCTCACACTGATAACCTGTCTTTCTAATTAACCACTGCTCTGTTCCCAAACGCTAAGCTCCTTTTGATAAACCACAAAGCTCTGGAATAGAAGCTGCTTCTGCCATTTGAACTGTATTTTCCCTGTGAATGCCTAAAGGGCAGAACTCATAGGTACATAAGGTTTGTGGATTTATCTCTCAGAGAGCCCATACTGTGTTGGGCTAAGTAAATAAAGCAGCATCTCCCTGGGGGCATCTAAGGATTGCAGGAATTGAGGAAAGTGGACAGTGCAGCGGAGAGAGGGCTTTAGCCCTGATCCGGGACAATGGCTAAATTGGTAATGTTGAGAATCGCAGCTGTGCCCTGTGTTTTCCTCTTTAGTTGTATCTCCAGAGTTTCTTCTGTGCAATAAGCCTGGCCATGTGCTGTTAGAAATGGGGATTTACCACAAATCATATCCACCTCATCCAGCGCTCTCCTTTCCCTCCTGTTTTCTTTCATTTCTCCTCCACTCCCCTGCCTCCTCTTTTTTTTTTATCTTTATCATATATTTCATATTAATGTTTAATAGAGTAAAGCTTACAGCCCCGTAAATTGCAGCGATGTGTGTCTGCATTTCATGTGTTTTGAGTGGTTAGAGCAATAAATGGACTCAGGGTTATGAGAACAGTGAAAGAATACAGGCAGTAGTGGACCACTTAATGGGCCTTGGGATTGTTTCACTCAAATATAAATACTGTTTCACCAACAATACAGTACTGTTTGTGAAAGAGGGATAATGTTTTCCAGGAAAAGACTGATTAAGTGTGTTTGTTTGCAAGCGGAAAGAAGATGAGTGATGGAAACAGAACTAACCTCAGAGTCCACCGATAATTTTGCTTTATTACATCTGTAGTCGTATTTTTGTACTTTCGGCCATTATTTCTATCATCCCGAAGGTATAAGTACAACAGAAGAGAAAGGAACACAAGCAGTCAGATGGTAATACAAGTAGCACCCGTTGACTCTAAACTGGTCCTTCATCTTCTCTTAACTGAATCAAATCTCTGATGTCCATCTCAATAAACGTTCATGATTCTGCATAGAAAACATGAAAATATACTTCTTTTAACTCTGGATGTTTTCTAATAATTTAGATGCTCTCTTAAGAATCAAAAGTAATAATTGTCAGTGGTTATAGTCATTGTGTTTACATGTGCTTTAAGGGAGCTATTTGTAAATTTTGAAATTTCTACGTAGCCAGCATTAGTATTAAGAGCTTCAGCTTTTACCAGACAAGAGATTATAATACGTCCTCTGAGCATTGCTACGTCTTCAGCGCAGCCTGGACGGTACAGTGACTCGGTATCAGAAAGTGACAAGACAGTCACTGGGGCCCAGGGCTGGGGCTAGCTGGTTAGCATGCTAACTTCAGTAGAAGAAAAGAAGTGGTGGAAATAGAAGCAACACAGGAAGGGTTACTTTCCACCACTGGAGACAGCTGTTTGTGAGTAAAGGAATGAAGTTTGATGCTGAACTCACAGCGTTTCTCCTAGACTGATAAGTAAACAGCTGTTCATGCTAATGCTGGCTGTGTGAGTTTCTCCCGTTCTCCCACCCTTATTTTGAAAGTAAATCTCTCTTATTTTAACTCCATGACTGATGAAGATGAAGATGCTGTTTCCTGACTTTGTTCCCAGTGCGTGTCTCTGAGAGAAGGACGGGATGCAAGGACACATCACATGTCTGTTCAGTGGTGGAAACCAACGTACTTGCTACAGGCTGTTTTCTTTTTTGTATCAGTTTCAGTTGGAGTTCTTAGGACACATTTCTAATTTCATCCACTTAGTCCACTGTTAATTTCCCTGTCTGCAGTCTTTTATCCTGCACATGCACACTTGTAAAAAGCCGATTAGAAACCTGGGTATTTGCAGACATTTCTCCAGGAGAAATCTACCTGGGAAAACCAGATTCGTCTAATCTCCTTGTTTGTTTCCACAGCTCATAGTGGAAACACTTTTCCTGTGCAGTGGTGGATTTTTACCGACCTTTTGAATGTGCTCACTTTCACTTTTACTTCCAAATAAAGCGATTAAGATGATTCGGCAAAATTTTTTTCTTGCCCTCATTCCTTGGCCACGTTCCCAGATCAATAATTTTGTTCAATGTTTCCATAAATGAAAGAAACTGGGGCCAAAACTACAAGTAGGACGCAGAAAAATCAACCTTAAACAAGCTTTAACCAGAATTAACTTCAAAAAGATGAACAGAGCCTCATGCAGCGTGCACCCAGACCTCCCTGCCGCATGGCTAACCTGTCATTTGCATTATAGAAAACAAGCCCATACGCAGGGAGACGTGTCTTGTAGTGTTTTTCCCCTCTCCTGGCTGCCTGCTAGTTGCTCTCGGTTTTCTCTGCCGTCGGCTGGCAGTGGGAGCTGACGTGCTCTTGGTTTTTCTGCCATCCCTTAGCAATGTGTCAGGTCCAGTTTAGCACTTGAAGGCAGGATGTGTCAGAATCACAGACCTCTCTCTCTCCAGGCTGTCTCACTCCCAAGGTGAGTCAGGCCTCGTCACCACTCCTATAGAGACATAACCCATCACATGGCGTTGGTCGACGGCCAGTAGTTAATAGCCCTGTCATGATTTGTCAGGGAAAATACTCATCCGCTGAAGAGTGCGATCACTTAGAGCAAGGTTAGAGTGTTTATGGGTTGGAAGGGAGGCGGGCGGGCAAATGTAAATCTGTACAGTCACGGCATGTTCGGGCCTTGGCACAAAGTGGGTGAATAAAATCCTAAATTGAAATTGACAGCTTGCAGTGGAGACAGAAGTCCAAACAAAAGGGTGCGACTACAAGACCTGAACATTGTCAGGAATAGCGAAGCTTGAAGTTGGGAATCTGTGGATCTGCTCTGGTGTCACTGAGACAAATTCCTGCACATTTATGCACAAGTCAATGACTTTCTGTTTGTTTGTCCTCTCTCTAGAAAGAGTTCCTGGCAGCTACGACTGAAAAGGACATCTTTGCCCATCTGGGTCTCGAGTACATCGAGCCTTGGCAGAGAAATGCGTAGGCCTCCGCTCCTCCCCGGCTGGATGATACCCTCTGCGTACATCAGTGTTTATCCCATCTGCTTGCTGTTCTGCAGCTCTCCTGTGATTCACTTTCAAACTGCTTTTGATTTCCATACACTTTTGTGTTGTTGTTGCCATTATTGTTGTTGTTGTCTGGATTACATGCTGCTGTATGATTCATAATTCTTCTTATTCGCCACTGTCTGTTAGCGGGTAAACACCCTCCTTTACCATTCATGTCTTGCCTGTCTGTAAGTGTTGTAATCATAGGCAGGACACAAAGACAAATCAGTCAGAGTACGCATCGCCTGGGGTGCCATCGAGGTGCAGGAGAGAGAGAGAGAGAGCGAGAGAGACTGAGAGAGACACAAAAGAAGCAAAGGAGGGAAGGGGGTGACCACAGCGAGAGAGGGAGGGTGATGGAGAAGACAGGAAGCGAAGGGAGACGTGAGGGGGAGGGGAGCTTTTGTTGAGCAAAATGTTATAATCACCCTCCTCCTGGCAGTAAAGTGCTCAGTGGGAAGCTGAGCCAGGTCTCCGGGGAATTGAGAGGCGGGTAATGAGCTTCAGATAGAGGAGCGTTCGGCATCGCCATTTAGCCTCCATTTAAACCTACGTCCACTGGAGATCATTTAGCTGGCATTCCACCATCCAAAGACCCAAAGCCTCCGCTCTTGTTCCACAATGAATCCCCCTTCCCCAGATGCTCGGCTGAAATTAGAGGCAATCAGCTGCACCGGGAAATCATGAAGAATTCAGATGGAAGGTAAATGAGTCCACTAACCACATGGATGGATCTTGGCATTCACAGTGACTCTGGCTCCAATGCATAAAACATCCATTATCTTATTGCTTTGACTTTGCCTTATGTTTTATGTATGATGGTTGCTTATCAAGATTTGTGTCCTTATTTTTCAAATGTACGGTGGCCCTGTAGGACAAGCATCCACTAATGAACAAACTTTATTGATCCCTGTGGGCACTTTGGGTAAGTCTGACTTGTTTCTCCCAGTGATGACACAACCTGCCCTGCTGTCCGCACCCCAACCCACTTTCCCATGATGCTCAGCCTCTGGTTTATCACATGGTGCCTCAATGAGAGCAGAGACAGATGAGAGCGAGGCATTCTAGTGAATCACCCTATTTAAAGATCTTTAAGTAGAACAGTCCGGCACTTTGAGGACTTGACCCGGGCCCTCCTCCCTCCGCCCTGTCTTCTCTCCCCCTTTTGGTCTCTGTCTTTCTCTCTCTCCCGTTGTGCTGTTCACTCAACCTCGCTGACACAAAACAAACTTTAAAGGCTCAGGGTTGCAGTGTTAACCAGGCACCCTGCTCTCCTGGGTTATCTAATGTTTCTGCTTTCAAAAATGGGGGATGAAGTTTTTTTTTTTTTTTTTTTTTCCACCAAAAAATAGGAGATCTCTCCAGAGTAAAATAAAATCAAGCTGACCTCAATAAATTTACATTTGTCCTGCTCTCTTTTTACTAATTGTTTTTCAAGTGCGAGTGGGATTTCTTTCTTCTTTCACATTAAATATTCACTAGTGTAAAGGGATTTAGAGGCTGTAGCACTCAATTTAAGAATTCACACATTGTTGTTTTGGTCTTAGGGAGCCTTAAACTGTTTATAGAGCTGAAAAGCAAAGAATTAAGCGCAGTGTGGCAAAACTATCTGCTCCAAAGTCCTCCATTGCACTCCCTACGGAGCAATATATTTGCAAGGTATCACAGATTATTAGGTGAGACCATCTTCTCTCTTAGTTACTTTATCTGGCTACACTGCAGGAGATGCCTGTGAATGCCTAACAATACGACTGTACTGGAGTATGTCAACACTTAACCTCAGTGAACCTCAGTGAATTACTACTTAAATACAGAAAACTGATTACCACTCTTAATGATCTTGTCATTGAAACTCCACTTGATGTTACTTAGTGTTAAGTATGCCAGGTTTGTGTGTTTTCTGCAGAAACAGGGCAATTATTGAGAGTGAGATTAAAAGAGCAGGGTATAGGGGAAGCTTGAGCAGGTGATGACAGTCGAGCTGTGCTACACATTGTCGGCCAGCTGCAGCACTGTCAGTAGCATCCGTGAGATGATGAATGGCAGTGGTGGAAGAAGCATTCAGACTGTTCACTTAAGCAAAAGATACAAGTGAAAGTCCTGCACTCCAAATGTTACTGAAGCTGCAACTACAGAAGATAAATGGACTTAAAGTATTAAATGTAAAAGTGCTTAAATGTCCTCATGAGTGTAATTGTACATTATAATATTGGACTGCAAGTTTGAGATAATAGTGTTGGGTATATTTTCCACACTCAGATAAAACATTGGTTTTCCTGTGAATCAGTTCTTCTTTGCTGCTCTAAAACAGCAGCCTACACAGGAAGTTGTGCTGTGCAGCCACTGGCAGCTACTGCTATAGAGCAAAGAAGAAGAACTGATTTCTGGTAAACAGCGTAACATTGGGCCCAATCTCAATGTCCACCCTCACAGACTCACAGACCTGGAGGCGTGTTCCCGGTGAGTTTGTGAGGACTTAGGACTGTCCCACTGTCAAACCATCGAGGGCATGAGGGCTCTCCAGCAGACATTGTGAGCCCTTTATGCACACTTTCTGTAAGGCCGTATTTCTGCAGACTTTGCCTGAAGGAATTACTCAAAGTTCATAGAATTGTGACATTAAACACGGGGTTACCATGGTTATCAGGGGACGCCCAGAAGCGTAAAAAGGCGCAAACAACGGCCATAAAATGCAAGAAATAATACGATAGAAGAACAGTTAACAAACAAGCATTAAATGAACGAACCCTAAATATAGCATTACAAGAAAAAAAGACAGTATATGACAGTATAAACACAGAGCTCAATGTGATTCAGAGCCAGAGCTGTGGAGTTATTCCTATGATGACATGATTAATTCCAAATATCCAAATTGGATCAGATCTGATCCAAAATTTTGTTTACAAACAGGGAGCGAAGGGAGGGAATAAAAAAGTACAATCAAAAGTCCCAAACCCACAATTGAATGCAAATGTTTTGGCATCATCAGGGTAACATGATATAAGTGTTGTCCCATTCCTCTTTATACCATCTTGAGCCCTTGCAGCCTCTCACACTCAGTCACTCTCCAGGTGTGTCAGCTTAGTCTGTGAGGGTTCAGGGCTTTGGGGGGACATTGGGATCGGGCCATTAGCTGTTGGCCCACACCCAGATGCTGTCCTATTCAGATACGGACCTATAAACAATAAATGATTGAGAATTATTAGATTTTCATAGTCTTTCAGTTTCACGGCAGTGGTCACATAACGGTGCTCAGCCAATCATTGCCACTCGATTCAGTGAATGACACACTCACGGTGAGATGAGACGGGACAGTTGGAGAAACAAGTCAGAGCAGCATACGACAGCTCGCAGTAGGAGGCTACAGCAGTTTTAAATTCTTTTCCATATGTTGTCAAGTATGAAAAGACACAAAATAAACAGACGACAGATGACTTGATTACTAATTATTTAAATAGAATTTATATAGGAAGGATTCTGTCCTGAGCTTTTTGCTCCATACAGGCAGTTAATCACTGTAACTGCCATACAACAGCGACAGCAACCATATCACATCCATACAGGGTTAGTGGTATACAGTGAATCATTTTTTAAAAACACATTGGTATCTGATAACTAACTAGTATCTAACTAGTTTATTAAGTAGCTTGTTAACACTTTATAAATCATTTATAAGTTGTTATAACACATTAGATAAAAATGGCAACAGGGACCTGTTACTTGCCAAATAGTGATCCCACATGTATCTGTAATGTCCAGCCTCATATCTCATTAGTGACTAGGCTTTCTCTGTTTCATCCATCATCCAGTGTTTGTACTTGCTGCTTCTTCACATACTTGTGTAAATCATAAATGATATATATTATAATTCATGCTATCAGATTGTTGCACAGTGGATATTAAAATGGAGATGCTTTTTTTGGTAGGTATCTTCTTTAGGCCTTTAGCATTGCAGGTAGATACAAACATTTATAATTGTCTTTTCAAAAGGTCAGTCAGCCTCAGCGTGTCCAACTGTTTGTGACTAGTCGTCATTTTATCAGGAGTATCCTCTCAGTAGCAGCACATCACAGAATAAACACGGTTATGATGTCACAGTGACCTCGCTGGCCACAAGTTCATGAGATAATTAAAAATATATCTGAGTCAAGAGATAGGTTGAAGCATCACTTCATTAGCTGCAGGAATCTCTTGAGTTGTGTTGCGGAAATGAACAGAAGGACGGGGCTGCAGAATCTCAGGTGGGGTTTGCAGATGGCTTACAGCAAACAGCCGGGCTTTCTAGGTATGAAAGAGGAAAAGAATAAGAGTACACACATACACAACTCTGTGTATTGGGGGTCTGGTAGTAAAAATGCCCCAATACCAAACTTGAAAACAAACCTACTCCCTTGCAACAAACTGTCTTCTAGTAAAACAGCCTTGACTTTTATTAGAACATGTTTAAGACTCAAACAAAGTTACACAGGAGAGCTCCTGAATCTTCGATGGTCTAACTATCTAACTATCTGGTGGATAAAATGATTTAACACATTTTATTAACTCATTGTTGTCCACATTTCTGTTTTCCCCCAGAGATATTCTTTTTGCTGGGGTCCAGCTCTAAACCCTCTTAGCAAACCCATTTGTTTATCCATCACTCCCAGCCAATCACATGTGGCCATTTTCTATGCAAATCATTTCCTTTGGCTTCTCGCAGTCTGGCAAACACTCCTTTCTTTTTTTTGCATACTTGATGTCTGAGGTCTGACTGAGATGACAGATGTGTGAATATATGAAAAATTGCTTGCAGGAATTTGCATAAAAGTGCTCGATTTGCTGACAAAAAATGTATTTTGGCATCCAATCAGTTTTCATTTCTACCTATGCAATCATTTCCAATCCCCAGTTTTCTCTCAGCGGCATTCCAGCAGCGGAAGCCTTCAATCATGGCCGT